TTTTATTTTATTCTATTGTTTATTTTTAATAATTACGTTATATTTCCTCACTGAATATATATTGCTTTAAAGGTACTTAAACTAGAAAACATGGAGAATCAAAAAAAAATTCTATATAATAACCCTCTTTTGACGGTTATCCCAAATATTTTTTCAATAACGAAAAAAAAAACGAATTTTTTTTTTAAAAAAAACTCCATTGAAAAAATTCCCATTAGTTTCCTCTATATATATATCAAAAAAAAATCACAATTTTTTTTGATTTAATTCTCATTTCGAACTTTTGAGAACAAAAACAATAAAACATTTTTCGATTCGAGAAAAAAAGTTTGTAAATACCTTCTTTTTATTTAAAAAAAATTTTTTTTCGTTAACATTTAAAAAAAAAAAAAATTTCTTGATTCTACAAAAATATAATTTTTTGTAAAAAATGGAACAACCATCAGTTACTTATTCTGATATTGACTACTTCGGCCAATCTCATAACTGGACCGATACCGATATTATCTCATCTTATAAAAAAATTTGCAACCAACTTAACATCTGTCAAGAAAAATTACAGATACAAAAAGGTCAAAGAAAATTCAAAAAACGTTATTCACATTCTAAACAACTATCTCAAAAAGCTGTCCAACAAGCACAACAATCTCAACGTGAAAGAAATGTCAATGTTGCTACGATAGGTCATATTGGAAACACACTCAAACAACAGAAAGAAGAACCTGCTTTATGTACAGAAGAAAGGCATTTAATTCGTATGAAGAACGCTTTATGGAGACGTATGGGTCCATCAGTTGGTTGTATTGGCAAAGGAAATAAACTTGTCTCTCCAAAGACTCTAAAATGGTAAGTTTTAAGAAAGAAAGAAAATAATTTTTTTTTTTTATTTTCGCTCCTATTTTTGGTATAAATATTTTTTAAGGGAGGTGGTACGACATTATCTGTGTGTGACAACCCTCATTTAACATTTCACCCCAAAAATTTTAAAGGGGATTCATTCAATGAATTAATTCTCTCTTTAATTTTCTTCATTTTCTGCTATTCTCATAGTTCTTCTCAGTATCAAAGAAAAGATATATATTCTGAACAACAAGAAAAATGTCTCATAAATGTAATCCAAACTCATTCATCATCATCATACGTGCCACGTCTGCCACGATATGATCGTTCTCTTAAAAATCGTAGAATTCAACGAAAAATAAGATATGCAAGCAAAATCGATTCGTATACAAATTATTTTATGCAATTACCAAGACAAAACATAAGCAACAATCCATTTGCAAACCAAATATTTAATGGAATTAATTTCTATTAATGTCGATATTTTAACTCCCTTCCCAACATTAAATTTAATTCAAACGATTCAAAAATCCGTAAATCTGTTTAATGAATATTTTTGAAAAATCTATCGCACCCTAATAATCGGCAAAATGTAAATCTTTGTTTAATGAATATTTTGGCAAAACCATCGTACCCCTAATAATCGGCAAATGTAAATCTAATGAATATTTTGGCAAACCTATCGCACCCTAATAATCGTAATCGGCATACATTATAAAGCGGCTTTAAAATTTGCACTACAAATTTTACGATAATCGACGATTTATTAAACAATCTTTTCATTTTTTTATTCGGCTTTAGTCGAAGATAAAATATAAGAAAAAGTTTATTACATGTTTTTTTTATATTATTTTATTAATTCGATTGTTTGGCCAACAATCAAATTATATATATATATACTGTGTATATATATTTTTTTTTTGTGAAAAAAATTCTTTTTATTTCCTTCGCGAAAAATACCTAAAAAAAAATCTTAATAATTATTGATAAATATAACAAGCTTCCATTAAAAAAACTTTAAAAAATTTGAAAAAACTAGTTTTGATTCTTGAAACAGTCGATTTTTATGTTAGTTAAATGGAATAATAAAAAGGAAAAACAACAAAGTTCTCGTGACACTAACATTATGCTTATTGGAATTTTTTTAACTTATCACCGGGGTTGATGATCACCCCCGGTGATTTGAAATAAAAATCTTTATTGGAAAATCTTATCGGCCACAGCAATGTACATATTAATATCTTACTAATTAGTAAGCCACAATTTGATAAGTTATTCTATATGTTGCAAATTATTTATAAATATAAAACTATATAGTTTTTCATAAAAAGAGTCCTAAATGATTGGGTGTCGTTAATTATATATGGACAACCGTGACCTAGCTGCCATTATTATACAATTTATTTTACATAGAATTTTCTATGAAAATTTAAGTTTACCTGTTAATCTTAATAAAAATTTAACGTGTAATTACACAAAATAAAAATTTGAAATTATAAAACATAAATAAATTTGTTTTTTCGCGTGCGATAAGTTTCATCGTACATCCCAATTTTCACTACATTTCATTGGTCAATTATGTTGATCACATGACTGGTTTGCATACCTTAACAGTATTTTGTTTGAAAATTCAACATTCATTTTATAAATAAAATTTAATCTGTTCTTTTACATGATTAATTCAGGCTTTAGTGGAATTACTACATTAGACCACACAAATTCAATTTTTCAGTTCACGTAACATTGAAATTTAAAATCAAAAAAAGTTTATATGTAAAATCGTGAATCTGATTGGTTGACTTTTAAAGGGGAGGGTAATTAAAGAATTTATTTTCGCTTCAGAGGTTCTCAGCACGTGATAAACTTACCCGCCAATAAAAATTACGTCTTGATCACGTGATAAACTTTTTATATAACTTTTTTTTTTTATTGAAATTTGAAAAAGTGACCCGGTCGGGTGAAGTGAACCGAAAAAATCGAATTTGTGTGGCCTTATTTTGATTTTAAAAACATCTCATTAATTGTTATTATTCGTTTTAATTGAATAGCATGCTTGAAAAGTTGCTTGTTCCTCCATCTTTTAGAATCCGTCCCGTTTCTGATTTGAAATTTCTTTACGGAATCAAATGATAAATAGAAATTACACTTCTGCTATAGTTTAATTAGACGACAATCTGATGACTCTGTGACTCTGTGACCCATTATAAACTTACTCATTATGTTTTTAAAGAAAGTTAAAGAAAAAATTTGTCCTTCCAATGAATTAACATTCGGAATTTAACATCTTTTGATGACTCATTATGACAATTGTGATTTTTAAAGCGCTGCACTAACATGTGATCAGTGATGTAGCACTGGAAAATTGGAAGCTATTGAAACTACTGTATTGGAAACTTCCAATTTTTCCAATTGCATATGATAATGCAAAAATCAATATACAGTAAATGTCATGAAAATTCACGTGACTTTCATCACCTTGACTCAAGCCAATTTTAAATTTAATATTGATAAGGAAAAGAGTTCTAATTATTATTTTGATTATTCAAATTTTTAATTTTCACAAATATATTTATAACATCACCGTCTGTCTTTTTTGAAATGATGTTTTATAGTTGAGATTCTAGAAGTACTTTGGCCGATTTATTCTAAAAAGGATTGGTGTATAACAAAGGCTTATTTTTTAATTTGATCATAACAAGTAATGGTCGTTTTGAATTATTCCGCACTTATTTAAAAGTATTATTTATTTATTATCACTTTGTTCTCCATATCTTTGTTTTTTTTATAATTATTCTCTCTAATTTGTACATCAACAATTGATCATATGCAATTAAATAGATAAAAAATTCAGAAGTGTCAATTCAATCGGCATTTACAATATTATTTATTAGTAGCATAAGCGTACAAACAGACAATAGTATTGGCTCAATCGTATTAACTTAATCATAAGTATCCTTTACTACGCTTCGTACGATAATTAGGGAACGGGAACCGTTATAGATACACTATAAATAAATGTAACATTTAAAAACAACTTTATTGGTTTGAACAATGACTATAATTTTTATATACACCAGAAAATGAGCTATCATTCAAAGTATAATTTGGAAGGAGTTCAATTTATTTACCGACAATTATTTCACTAATAATCAACTTATTAGCAATGAGTTCACCGAAAATCATTTCACCGACAGGTTATTTCACCGAAAATCATTTCACCGACAGGTTATTTCACCGAAAATCATTTCACTGACAGGTTATTTCACCGAAACCGAATTTTATTTTAAAGATTAACTTAATAATTATTAATATCATAGTAATAATAGGAGATAATAAGAGTCTTTATCCATATTATAATTATATTACATTACATTAAATATTTTTTATTTGCGTTCGCTTATAAAATTTCTATGAATAAAATATATTTTAAAGCACTTACTAGTATTTATAAACAGTATTATTAAATATTTGTATAAAATGGTTATTATATTATGAAATAATATTGAGTAATAAAAATACAAAAAAGCAACCAATAAATTTTTTTGTTATAAATAAAATTTAAAACTTGTTGGTGAAGTAACTCCGTGATCCTGTCGGTAAAATGACTGCCGGTAAGTTAATTGTTGGTGAGACGATTTTCAGTAAAATAAATGGGCCCCATTGAGATTAACATACTAAACATAGTTTATAAGCTGGATGTTCGTGCATTACTTCTTACTATGGCTGAAATTTCTGATCGGCAAAGGGGCAAATCTACTATTATTATGTTCGTGCAAATTTTAAGGTAGATCACTGAATGAAAGATCATGAAGATCATACTACTTTGTAAAATCCGAAGTACAAATTATTATATAATGACAGACGGAACGGATTTTAATTGGATCTGGTTAAATTTACTGACATTTAGTGCTTTTTGCTCAGCATTAATAAAAAAAAATTTTGGAGTTACATATCAATAATTACTAGATATTAAAAAATAAAGAAAAAATTTTTTATTTAATACAAAGAAATAATATTTTTTTTTTTAAAAAAAAAAATTATATTTAATTTTTATTATAATGTTTAATTACTATATATATAGTATGTCGGTGAGATGACTTAAAAAATTTTATCCGTTATTTCTGTAAAAACTCCGTAAAAAATGAGCCTTTCACGAATCCCATTCACGGAGAAGGTAAATAATTCGATAAATTTCGTGATATAAGGTTATTAATTCCGGAAATATGAGCCTTTTACGGAAAAAAGATGGAATATAAAAAAGGATCGACTTTTTTTACAGGGCGATCCTGTCGGCAAAATGTTTGTCAGTTGAATTGAAATGAATCCCTTTGTTCCTTTTAATTATATTGCGCGTGAGAAAAAAAGTACAATTTTTCTTGGCAAAAAATCAAGAAATCTGTTTCGGTTTAGTGATTTGTTGACCGATATAGTTACTTCTCCTTCCAATGCTATTTAATTATCAAATAATCAATCAAAGAAATTATTGTAACAGATTCCTGATAAGGTGGATCGGTTTTTTCTCAATTATTTATACCCTGACCGGCAAATTTTATGTAAATCGGGCGTAATTATGGCAATCAAGCAAGACTGAACTACTTATTATGTTGTCCATTTAACTGGGGTAAATTTCTGATCGGCAAGGGGCGATCTACTATTATTTTGAATACTCTCATGATGTTTCGCGCAAACTTTAATTTGAATCGATCAATAAAGTATATCAGGATCATGATTTTCTAATCGTCATAGAAGGCCACAAAGAATTAATAATGTTGTGTGTGAGAACATAATAAATGCATTTTTTCTTGATAAACATTTTAAAACCATGTAAAAAAAGTCAATCCTTTTTTTTTATTCCATCTTTTTTTCCGTAAAAGGTTCATATTTCCGGAATTATTAACTTTATATCACGGAATTTATCGAATTATTTACATTTTTTCCGTGAATGGATGGAATTTTTACAGAAATAACGGATAAAATTTTTTATAGGGAAAATTGCTTGGCAAAAACAAAAAATCAAGAAATATGTTTCTGAATTAATGATTTGTTGACCGATAGATTGTAGCTACTTTCATATCCAATAATTAAATAATTAATCTAATAAAGGAATTATTAAATCTAACGATTCCTGATCTGAGTGGATCTATTTTAACCGGCAAATTTTACGTAAATCGTGCGTAATCATGGTTATCAAGCAAATAAAAGGTGAATGAACTTCTTATTATGTTTGGGGTAAATTTCTGATCGGCTACGAATAATCTCATGATGTTTTGTGCAAAACTTTAATTTGGATCGATCGATAAAGTATATCAGGATCATGATTTTCTAATCGTTAGAGAATGCCACAAAGAATTCAATTATGTTGGGTGTGAGAACATAATAAATGCATTTTTTTTTGATAAACATTTTAAAATTGCTTGGCAAAAAATCAAGAAATCCGTTTCTGAATCAATGATTTGTTGCCCGATAGGCCGATACACTGTGGCTACTTTCATATCCAATAATTAAATAATTAATCTAATAAAGGAATTATTAGATCTAACGATTCATCTGATCAAGGTGGATCTACCCTAACCGGCAAATTTTATGTAAATCGGACGTAATCATGACAATCATGCAAAAAAAAATTTTCTCTAAATTAGTTTGATCAAAATGCAAGATCCGATTGGATTACTGCGCGTATGATAATATTCAAATATTTAAAGGACTCATCTTTCTTTTTCTCAAAAAAAAAAAAATTCAGTTTACTAATACCGAAAATTTTACATAAACATAAAAAGAAAAAAGAATCAAAAAATTTATCTATAACCTA